CACCTCAAAACACCTAGGGAGGGACAAACGTGAGTTGTGGAAACTAACGAAACTCGCACGGGACACCCGGTTTGGAAACTAAGTCAAAAAATGCAATTCCTAAACACTTAAGTCTTAAAATAGGCAATCGGGGCCCAAAAAAATCCTACAACAGTCCCGAGAAGGCCCGGAGAGATCACCTCCAACACATCGAGAGAAAACAACGTAGGTTGTGGAAACTAGCGCGGGACTACTGGTTTGAAAACTAGGTCGGAAAACACACGTTTCCAACAATTAAGCTTGGAAGTAGGCCATCGGGGGCCAAAAAAATCCTGTAACCGTCCTGAGAAGGCCCCGGGGGCCAAAAAAATCTTGTACCAGTCCCGAGAAGGCCCGTGGAAACACCTGTTGTGGAAACTAACGAAACTCGCATGGGACTCCCGGTGACTCTCGGCTTGAGAACTAAATCAAAAAATGCCCTTTTTTCACACTTAAGCTCGAAAATAAGCCGTCGCATGGGACTCACAGTTTGGAAACTATGTCAAAAAATGCAGTTCCTAAACACTTAAGTTTGAAAATAGGCAATCGGGGGCCAAAAAAATCTTGTACCAGTCCCGAGAAGGCCCGTGGAAACACCTGTTGTGGAAACTAACGAAACTCGCATGGGACTCCCGGTGACTCTCGGCTTGAGAACTAAATCAAAAAATGCCCTTTTTTCACACTTAAGCTCGAAAATAAGCCGTCGCATGGGACTCACAGTTTGGAAACTATGTCAAAAAATGCAGTTCCTAAACACTTAAGTTTGAAAATAGGCAATCGGGGGCCAAAAAAATCTTGTACCAGTCCCGAGAAGGCCCGTGGAAACACCTGTTGTGGAAACTAACGAAACTCGCATGGGACTCCCGGTGACTCTCGGCTTGAGAACTAAATCAAAAAATGCCCTTTTTTCACACTTAAGCTCGAAAATAAGCCGTCGCATGGGACTCACAGTTTGGAAACTATGTCAAAAAATGCAGTTCCTAAACACTTAAGTTTGAAAATAGGCAATCGGGGGCCAAAAAAATCTTGTACCAGTCCCGAGAAGGCCCGTGGAAACACCTGTTGTGGAAACTAACGAAACTCGCATGGGACTCCCGGTGACTCTCGGCTTGAGAACTAAATCAAAAAATGCCCTTTTTTCACACTTAAGCTCGAAAATAAGCCGTCGCATGGGACTCACAGTTTGGAAACTATGTCAAAAAATGCAGTTCCTAAACACTTAAGTTTGAAAATAGGCAATCGGGGGCCAAAAAAATCTTGTACCAGTCCCGAGAAGGCCCGTGGAAACACCTGTTGTGGAAACTAACGAAACTCGCATGGGACTCCCGGTGACTCTCGGCTTGAGAACTAAATCAAAAAATGCCCTTTTTTCACACTTAAGCTCGAAAATAAGCCGTCGCATGGGACTCACAGTTTGGAAACTATGTCAAAAAATGCAGTTCCTAAACACTTAAGTTTGAAAATAGGCAATCGGGGGCCAAAAAAATCTTGTACCAGTCCCGAGAAGGCCCGTGGAAACACCTGTTGTGGAAACTAACGAAACTCGCATGGGACTCCCGGTGACTCTCGGCTTGAGAACTAAATCAAAAAATGCCCTTTTTTCACACTTAAGCTCGAAAATAAGCCGTCGCATGGGACTCACAGTTTGGAAACTATGTCAAAAAATGCAGTTCCTAAACACTTAAGTTTGAAAATAGGCAATCGGGGGCCAAAAAAATCTTGTACCAGTCCCGAGAAGGCCCGTGGAAACACCTGTTGTGGAAACTAACGAAACTCGCATGGGACTCCCGGTGACTCTCGGCTTGAGAACTAAATCAAAAAATGCACTTTTTTCACACTTGAGCTCGAAAATAAGCCGTCGCATGGGACTCACAGTTTGGAAACTATGTCAAAAAATGCAGTTCCTAAACACTTAAGTTTGAAAATAGGCAATCGGGGGCCAAAAAAATCTTGTACCAGTCCCGAGAAGGCCCGTGGATTACCTCCAACACATCGAGAGAAAACAACGTAGGTTGTGGGAACTAGCGCGGGACTTCCGGTTTGAAATTTAAGTCAAAAAATGCACTTTTTTCACACTTGAGCTCGAAAATAAGCCGTCGGGGGCCAAAATCATGTAACAGTCGCAACAAGGGCCGGGAGCACCTCAAGCACCTCGGGAGTGACAGACGCAGTTGTGAAAGCTTACGGAACTAGCACGGGGACTCCCGGTTTGAAAACTAAGTTGGAAAGGGACTGTTTTTCCACGCTTAGGCTTGGAAATAGGACACCGGGGGGGAGGCCAAAAACGTGTCACAGTCGCAAGAAGGACCGAGAAATGCCAAAAACACCTCGGGAGGGTCAAAGAGGTAAGTTGCGGAGGCTTACGGAACTAGCACGGGACTCTCGGCTTGAGAACTAAATCAAAAAATGTACTTTTTTCACACTTAAGCTCGAAAATAAGCCGTCGGGGGCCAAAATCGTGTAACAGTCACGAGAAGGCCCAGGGAACACGTCAAACACCCCGGGAGGGACCGATGTAAGTTGTGAAAACTTACGGAACTAGCACGGGACTCCCAGTTTGGAAACTAAGTCCTAAACGGCACATTTCTCGCACCTAAGCTTGAAAATAGTGCATCGGGGAGGCCAAAATCAGGTGACAGCCAAGAGAAGGTCCGGGGAACACCTCAAAACACCTAGGGAGGGACAAACGTGAGTTGTGGAAACTAACGAAACTCGCACGGGACACCCGGTTTGGAAACTAAGTCAAAAAAAGCACTTCCTAAACACTTAAGTTTGAAAATAGGCCATCGGGGCCCAAAAAAAACCTGTAACAGTCTTGAGAAGGCCCGTGGGACACCACCAACACCTCGAGAGAAACCAATGTAAGTTATGGAAACGAGCGCGGGACTTCCGGTTTGAAAACTAGGTCAGAAAATGAACTTTTTTCACACTGAAGGTTGAAAACAGGCCTCGGCGGGCCGGAATCGTGTAACAATCACGAGAAGGCCCGGGGTACACCCCGAACATCTCAGGAGGGACCAATTTAAGCCGTGAAAACATAACGAACAGGCACGGGGACTCCCGATTTGAAAACTAGGTCGGAAAAGACACTTTTCGAACACTTAAGCTTGAAAGTAGGACGCAGGGGGGGCCAAAACCGTGTCACAGTCGCGAGGAGGACCCAGAAATGCCCCAAACACCTCGGGAGGGTCCAAGAGGTAAGTTGCGAAGACTTCCGGAACTAGCACGGGACACTCGGCTTGAGAACTAAATCAAAAAAGGCACTTTTTTCACACTTAAGCTCGAAAATAAGCCGTCGGGGTCCAAAATCGTGTAACAATCACGAGAAGGCCCAGGGAACACGTCAAACACCCCAGGAGGGACCGATGCAAGTTGTGAAAACTTACGGAACTAGCACGGGACTCCCGGTTTGGAAACTAAGTCCGAAACGGCACTTTTCTCGCATCTAAGCTTGAAAATAATCCATCAGGTGACAGCCAAGAGAAGGTCCAGGGAACACCTCAAACCACCTAGGGAGGGACCAACGTGAGCTGTGAAAACTTACGGAACTCGCATGGGACTCACGGTTTGGAAACTAAGTCAAAAAATGCACTTCCTAAACACTTAAGTTTGAAAATAGGCAATCGGGGCCCAAAAAAATCCTACAACAGTCCCGAGAAGGCCCAAGAGGTAAGCTGCGGAGACTTACGGAACTAGCACGGGACTCTCGGCTTGAGAACTAAATAAAAAAATGCACTTTTTTCACACTTAAGCTCGAAAATAAGCCGTCGGGGGCCAAAATCGTGTAACAGTCACGAGAAGGCCCGGGGAACACGTCACACACCCCGGGAGGGACCGATGTAAGTTGTGAAAACTTACGGAACTAGCACGGGACTCCCGGTTTGGAAACTAACTCCGAAACGGCACTTTTCTCGCACCTAAGCTTGAAAATAGTGCATCGGGTGGGCCAAAATCGGGTGACAACCAAGAGAAGGTCCGGGGAACACCTCAAAACACCTAAGGAGGGACAAACGTGGGTTGTGGAAACTAATGAAACTCGCATGGGACTCCCGGTTTGGAAACTTAGTCAAAAAATGCACTTCCTAAACACTTAAGTTTTAAAATAGGCAGTCGGGCGCCAAAAAAATCCTGTACCAGTCCCGAGAAGGCCCGTGGAACACCGCTAACACCTCGAGAGAAACCAAAGTACGTTGTGGAAACTAGCGCGGGACTTCCGGTTTGAAAACTAGGTCGGAAAAGGTACTCTCTTCACAACGAAGCTTGAAAACAGGCCTCGGCGGGCCGGAATCGCGTAACAATCACGAGAAGGCCCGGGGAACACCCCGAACATCTCAGGAGGGACCAATTTGAGCCGTGAAAACATAACGAACAGGCACGGGTTGAAAACTAAGTTGGAAAGAGACACTTTTTCCACACTTAGGCTTGAAAATAGGACACCGAGAGGGGGCAAAAACCGTGTCACAGTCACGAGAAGGACCGGGAAATGCCCCAAACACCTCGGGAGGGTGCAAGAGGTAAGTTGCGGAGACTTACGGAACTAGCACGGGACTCTCGGCTATTAAATCAAAAAATGCACTTTTTTCACACTTAAGCTCGAAAATAAACCGTCGGGGGCCAATATCGTGCAACAGTCATGAGAAGGCCTGGGGAACACGTCAAACACCCCGGGAGGGACTGATGTAAGTTGTGAAAACTTACAGAACTAGCACAGTACTCCCGGTTTGGAAACTAAGTCTGAAACGGCACTTTTCTCGCACCTAAGCTTGAAAATAGTCCATCGGTGGGGCCAAAATCGGGTGACAGCCAAGAGAAGGTCCGGGGAACACCTCAAAACACCTAGGGAGGGACCAACGTAAGTTGTGGAAACTTACGAAACTCGCATGGAACTCCCGGTTTGGAAACTAAGTCAAAAAATGCACTTCCTAAACACTCAAATTTGAAAATAGGCCATTTGGGGCCAAAAAAATCCTGTAACAGTCCCGAGAAGGCCCGTGGAACACCTCCAACACCTCGGGAGAAACCAATGTAAGTTGTGGTAACTTACGGATCTAGCGCGGGACTTCCGGTGTGAAAACTAGGTCGGAAAAGGTACTTTTTTCACACTGAAGCTTGAAAACAGGTATCGTGTAGGTAGGCCGGAATCGTGTAGATAGGCCGGAATCGTGTAACAATCACGAGAAGGCCTGGGGAACACCCCGAACATCTCAGGAGGGACCAATTTGAGTTGTGAAAACTTAACGAACAGGCACGGGGACTCCCGATTTAAAAACTAGGTCGGAAAACACAATTTTCTAACACTTAAGCACGAGCCCTGTATCAATATACGCAAGTAGAGAGATACATACATACCTATTTAGTATAAAGAAGGAAGAGCCCTCTATCAGTGTAGGTAGCAAAGAATAGAGACATGAATGTGAGTAGTGACCTATCGTTGATTATGTTATTAATGGTGGCTTAATTGGAGATAATAGGATGGTGATATAATGGTAGTTCACCTTGATGATGGACGGATATTTTGGAGGCTGTCAAAAACACACATACAATTTGGTTTGCTTGCTATGCTTTTGATTCACTTTGTCTGGTGGAGGGAGGGAGAGAGGGAGAGAGAGAGAGAGAGAGAACTAATCCATAATGTTCAGATTAATTAAGTGCTTTCTTGTACATCACCAACACACCTTATTGAACCAATTATAACTTTCTAATTTGAACCAAATCTAATTAAGCCAAGCACACGTATCTTGCCTCAACCCTAAATTATTTAACGCTTAACCCCAGTTCCAGGCTAAACAAGCAGGCTCTGTGCCAACTCCAACTCATTATGGTCCTAAAGCTATAACAAGTGGATGATAAGGAGAAGTGCTTCTGAAGCAGTCATGTAATTGGATAGGAATTTATGAAAAATCTCCATAAGACTGCTGCATGGCATATGCTATACCGTACAAAATGTTGAATGACAATAAAAAGCAAATGTAAAAATGAGGATATAGACACAGACACAGACAGGAGGGGGGCACAACAATAAGAAATGACTACATTTCTCTAAAGCTACAAGTAGCACGAAGCATAGACAATATGAGGTGCTACATTTCTCTAGAGCTACGAGTAACATGAAGCATAGACAATATGAGGTGAAGGAGCACAGGATGGTTTAAGAGTAGCAACGAAGGCATAAAATATTGTCAAGAAGGAATAACAGAAACTAAGTTATAGGTGCCTCAAAGACAGAAGAAAAACACAAAAAAAAAATGAGAATTGAGACCATGAGAAAGGATATAGTTATTCTAAAATTGAAAAAAATATATATGTATATATATATATATGTAAGTATGTGTGTGTACTCTAAGAACAACCATACGCAAGAGGAACCATGTTGCCAACCTCAACCCAAGTAACCATGATTAGTCTGAGTTCAGTACATTGGAGTATAAGAAACATCTGAACTATCAATAATACAAAAATGCTAGAAACACTTAAAAAAAAAATACCAACAAAGCGCTTGTACATAGGTCCCACCACTTGGTATGGGATTCACCAAATATTTTGTCTGGTTGGTTTGCTTGTTAGTTGTCCTAACATTTTTGTCAATAATTAAGTAATAGAGATTATATGCTATAAACCATGGAACTATTCCTTGAAAATAAACCAAATATTACAAATAGCATGTGGAATACTTAATATAAGAACAGCCCTTCAGACCTCTAAATGACACGTTGCTTCCATATTGTCAATTGGAACAATTTAAAATTTTCCAAGTCAAACCACACTAGAACCAAGACAACTCCATTTGTGGCATTTGGTTAAAGTGGATCTACCTCAAATTAAACAAAAAGTTAGCTTTTTTCAAAAAAACATCCAATCATGCCTCTTAGCTTATTGGTTGTTTTGGGCCCACTAATACTTGCATTGAATTTATCAACAACAAAAAAAGAATTTATCAACAAAAAAAAATAAAAAAAAAATACTTGCATTGTTGTATATTAACTTTAAAACTTGGCCCCTGACAAAAGTTATAATTCTATATGTGACCCAATTGTAGCACTTTTTAAACAACCTTTGCCTAACACATTCCCAGCTAATTTTGTCAGCGTACCTAAATAAGCACCTTCAAATAGGTCTAGCAACCCCAAACGGACCCTCAAAGACAGTTCTAGATAAAAAATTTCAAGTTTTGATACTTGTTGCCTGCTTATCTAATACCTGTGAACTCACATAACCCAACCATCTAAATAAGGGGAACCAACAGGTCAGTTATTCCCCTGAACCTTTCTATATACCAAATCCACATCGTTAATTTTCTTAAAGCATCAGATAGTTCTAGAATATAGCAAAAAGCAGACAATCATACATTGATAAAGAAAAAAACCATTTTGTAATGTAGTTCTGGTGTTTAAATTTGTAGCACATTTCTGATAACTTCAATTGTAAGGCATCTGTATTACATAAGGCTGCAGTCCTGAATTTTACTTCTGCCTAAGAATTGCAAACTAGTTTCAATTGGTGTAGTAAAGCTTATCTAAAGGACCATCTAAAGTTGTGAAGCAAAGATTTTGTCACATGACATATATGAAACTACATCAATCATCCTCAATACAAATTATCGTGACAAACATATATACATATTCCATTAATTGGGACTGAAGTGGGTGTACTTTAAAGGGGACGATTGGTTTAGTGGTTTTAAATTCAGGCCTAATAACCTTGAAGTAGTGAGTGTGAATACAAGGCAGCTACTTTGTACATAATGATTAAAGGTCAGCTCTGTGCCTAGAACCCCATTAATAGGAACTAAACTATGTGTATTTCTATATATAAATATATATATATATATACACCTTTATTTTATCAATATAAAGTTCAAAATATTATTGATCACTTCATTATAAAATCAAAATCAAAACTCAAGAGAATTGCTTACCTCTTCTAACACCAATTTGATCCAAGAATGGCCCAAATTGCCTAACTAAAAATGCCAAAAGTTCTGGTACATCGAGCGGTGGAACTTCCTACATCATATATATAAGAAAAGCAGAAGAAAAGAAAACATTCAGCATAGTGTATTATAGATTGTAGGAAACTAGAATCATCAATATATCCAATCTATGACAAATGTCAATCAATCCTAAGGAACAAACATACTACACCACCACATATGAAATTTTGACTATGCCTATTGGTCTATAATTAAACCTAGGCCTCAGGTTTAGGCATCTACGTACGTGAGATGTTAGAATGTGATAAATACTGCAACATGAAACACATATCAAGGACACAATGGCATGTCAATATCCATTACAAAATGGTGTTTAACACAACCACCTTGATAAGAATAAGAAGAAGAAGAAGAAGAAGAAGAAGAAGAAGAAGAAGAAGAAAAATGGCATTCATGTCCAATACAAACACCACATTGCAAAAAAAATTGTTTTCCCTAAAGAATGAAACACAATGCTAGCCTTTCAGTATGCACAACTACAGCAACATGAACTCCAACAGGACATAACCCTCCCAATTAATGAGTATAAACCACATATCATCCAACTAACAACTCAAACATAGGATGTAAGAAAAGGATTACAATAAACGTTGGAATCATAAGATTCATATTATTGACGGCTGAGAAAACTACTTCCAGTCAACAGTGCTTATATGACTATTACGTCATTGCTGAAACAACTCTCCATTTTCTAGAAAATAAATAAATATAGATATATATTAAATAAAATTCAATATTTTATCTCCTTTTCTTCCCCTAGTGCCTTCAGAAAGAAAATATAGATTATCGACTCAAAAAAAAAAAGTTCTAAAAAAATTAACACAATAATGAATGATACATGAAAAGGAGTAGTTCAATACTAACCTTTGAATCAGTTGGGTCCTTGCAGATTGCTTTCTGCAAAATAAATAATTGGGTAACAGATTAATAACGAACATATGAATCCAGGAAATTCTACTCTCCATTAATAACGAACAAAGATAATGATCAGGAAATTCTATCATCTAGAAACAAGTTTATACATTATTACCAAGCATTCACTTCCTATATTGGAATGAATCAAAACACATGTTATAGTTAGCAGCAACATTCGTACTATTCTTATGTTTATGGCCTTCCTTTTAATGAAAAAATGTTTATGCCTTAGGACATAACTAGTTCCTTGCATACCTTCAATGGACATGGTATGCCACTTGATGCATAAATATTGATCCCAAATGTATGAAAGAACATAACAACTACTGCATAAATATTGATCCCAGCCTCGAAAGAACATAACAAGAGTACAAGACTGACAATGTATGAAACTTAATAGTCAAAACTACTGCATTTACTGCCATGCCAAAAAATCTCAATTCAAATGATAATGGATCTACAATGTTGACTTTCAGAAAACAACTAGTTGCGTCTCTCAAAAACGGAAGGAGTGATAAGAGTAGTAAAAACATTTTTACGTAGTTTGAACAGGGTGACAAGAGAAGTAAAAACATTTTTACGTAGTTTAATTTGAACAGGAAGATCCAACCTTGTGAGATCATTCCCTGTTGAATAAACCATGTTGGGAACTTTTAGAGATGCATACTTAGGTGATATACGTCCCAATGTCCCGTATTACCTTGCATGGACCAAGGATGGAAGAATAAACAGCAATCTACAACTTTAAGAAGATCATTTTTTATAGAAAATCGTAAAAGGCAATGAGTCTCATGAAGAGCCAACAAAAAATATACATAGTTTTGTAAATAAGAAAAATCCAAAAGAGCTTCAACAGGGTGCAAACCGGAGTACATGCAGAGAAGCAAAAATGACACACAAAAAATATCTTTAGAATTGACCAAAAAAGTCCAATGATTGCAGCAAACCCCTATAGGCCACACAAATAAACTGCTTAAAAGAAGGGAAAAAAATGCTTCCATGGTCACAAACACCTCACTCCTTGAAATGAAGTCCTATACCTCTCCTTCCATAGACAACAAAAGAGGCATTAAGGACACACTTCTTAAACTACATCCTCACTTGCTCACTCTAGACCAGCAACTGGAGTCCAAGAACTCTTAACACAAACTTTGGCATAAAACACGCCATCTGACAGAGGCAAAATGTAGCACGGACACAGACACGGGACATGACACGGACACGACACGGACACTCCATTCTTACATTGTGCTAATCTAACATGTATCGCCCTTAATACCAGCCATGCTTTGCCGTGGAAAAAATCATCGCAGCCACTCTATGGGAACATTTACTCTGGTGAAAGTTTCCTCCAGTTGAAATGCAAAATGTCATGCTTTTTGGTAACTATACAGTGCCATTCCTAGGGAACAAAATCTACGTATATCCCATGATCTACGTATATCCCAAATTTTAGTTGACTTGTATAAATCTTTCTTAGCCAGGCTTAAAATATAACCCTAATAAGCCCTCATCTATAAACAGGGTTTTATTTCACATCTTATGGTCAAACGACTATTGCAGTAACATTTCAAATAAAAAATTAATTTGACAATGCTAAAGATCAAGTGATTCAGATAAAGTGCTAATGCTTCACACTTAAAATGTTGTTTGGCACTTGAATAAGGTCTAGAGGAGATTTAGCCCTCAAAATGGAAAAGAATTTGCTTAGGATTGATAACATAACATGACAGAGATTATGAATTGTTCATTTTATTCAATTAAACCAGTACGAATTTGCTTTATGCCAATCAATTCTGCAATCAATATAATAATCAATTAGACACACAAAAGGATTCCCTTTTTCTTTTCTTTTTTCCTTCTTCCTGTCGAAAATCAAAACGGACAAAAACCACAGGACCCCGTAGCCAACCAATTCACCATTAGTAAGGGAAAAAAAAAATAGAAACAACCCAACCCTAACCCAGTTCATGTGCCTTAGGTGTTGAATCCTAAAACTTATTAGCGTGTTTCTTATACCACTGGAAATCGATGATGTTTGTTCCTGAATGGTTGGTAGAGTATCAAGCATCCATGATACTCAATGAATTCACCACAAATTAAACACGATCCACCATTGACTAGGAAATCACCAAAACAAACTTGAAATGTATTAAAGTGATGTAAACGCATATTAATCAATTGATAGTGCAAGCGAATATGGATGCTTCTCTTATTTGACAAATTTATTTTGGTTACAACTAGTTTAATTCCCCTCCCGTACGAAATTGCTAGTCCATTGTAACTATTCCAAACATCCCAAAAAAATCATCTATGTTTTTTTATTTATTCTTTCTTTCAATTTGTAGGAAAAAAAAATACATTATTTATTGACCCTACTAAAAGGCATGAATGCTAAAAATTGACAAACAGTTGGGGATGGAACGAGTATTTATAAATGAGATGACTTGAAGACCAATCCCATCCAAAATCCAAGTTAAAACCACCTTAGACTTTGCAAAATCGTTGGCCACTGCTGGAGCCATGAAAATCCCTAGAGACTGCTTCCACTTGAGATCTCAGTTTTTTAACAGATGGAAACAAAGTTGATTGAAAACTCACAATTTTCATACAATGGAAGATTTTTTCTTTCAAGCTTGTCCCTTAGCTATCCTTCAAGTCAAAAGTTTTCCTATAAAAAATTGGATATGTTGTGACTAAGATTTTTCTTTATACTTTTGTTTGGATTTGACTTGCTTTCATATGTATTTTTGCTTCTATGATTTTGTTAAGCAGTCAAGTCACACAAGGAGGGTTCTTTCCATTCTAGTTGCTCCCAATATGTATTATTATTTCTTCAGATGCATACTTAGGTGATATACGTCCCAATGTCCCGTATTACCTTGCATGGACCAAGGATGGAAGAATAAACAGCAATCTACAACTTTAAGAAGATCATTTTTTATAGAAAATCGTAAAAGGCAATGAGTCTCATGAAGAGCCAACAAAAAATATACATAGTTTTGTAAATAAGAAAAATCCAAAAGAGCTTCAACAGGGTGCAAACCGGAGTACATGCAGAGAAGCAAAAATGACACAAAAAATATCTTTAGAATTGGCCAAAAAAGTCCAATGATTGCAGCAAACCCCTATAGGCCACACAAATAAACTGCTTAAAAGAAGGGAAAAAAATGCTTCCATGGTCACAAACACCTCACTCCTTGAAATGAAGTCCTATACCTCTCCTTCCATAGACAACAAAAGAGGCATTAAGGACACACTTCTTAAACTACATCCTCACTTGCTCACTCTAGACCAGCAACTGGAGTCCAACAACTCTTAACACAAACTTTGGCATAAAACACGCCATCTGACAGAGGCAAAATGTAAGGCACCGCAGCTCCTGCATCGCTGTAGAATAGAAAAATAAACGATTGACAGCCTCCTTGTTGGCCTTGTGATGTAGTGTCATAGCATGTGTTAGATACTGTATCCTATAAATAGAAGAGTATCACATCATTCGTAACTAACTTAGATATATTGAATTGAATTGAGAATTTCTCTCTAATATCTCTCTCTAAGTTCCTCTCTCTCTAGTTCTTGATTGACCCTTTCATCATTTTGGTATCAGAGTCTCAAGAACTTGCCCCCATCTCGCATTACTAGAAAGAACTTAGCACCTAAAGAACTTAGCACCTGATCTAGGTTCGTAATCATCTGGATATTCGCGACCTGGTTCAGATTCGAGATTCGAGAACGCGCCCTAGAGTTGATTTCGCAAACTGGTTGTTGATTGTGAGTGATTCTTGGTCTTGTGAACTTGATTGTGAGTTGAATCTTGATTTCACAATTCCAGTTGTTCGTGGTTGCTCTGGATTTAGCAGATTCTAAATCAAATTCAGTTTCAATTGACGTTGAGATTCGCGAAGTTTCCTCTTGATTCAGTGTTGAATTCGTTCGCTCAACTTCACTGTTGTTATGATTTCACCAACCGAAATCACGATTTGAAACTGAGTTCGCAACTCATTAGATGATCACCATCTGACTTGCGTACCTGGATCGAAGTCTATATTCTCGACTACTCATCGTGACTTGGGCTGTTCTTTGAAGTTGTTCTGGACTCGTTTGACTGAAATCAACATATGGGTAAGTGATTCTTGAAGTCTTTAATCCATCTGTGTTGAATTTCCTATGTTATATCAAGTCTCAAATTCTGTAAATCTGTATGCATCAATCTGAGTTCAATTCTTGTCTTCAATATTTTGGGTCTTGCCTCTGTTGTAACATTATCTGTTCACTGTGCTATGATTGTATATTGGTGCACTGTTTTTTTTTATCAATATTCAACTGGGTGAGATTACTGTGATTCTACATATTCTTGGGAATTGTTCAATGTCTCAACGAGGTCGAGGTCGTAGGGGTGGTCGTGGTAGGGCTTTGTCCCGGATTTGGGTGATCATGATGGAGGTAATGGGATTCCGTATCCAAGAGATGAGATGGCCGAGATGAGGTGGTAAATTGCCGCGTTAACCGAAACGGTGCAACATCTCCTACCTCCTACCGAGGGTAGTAATGATTCCAATGAAACCGAAGGTGGTACTCATCATTCTTTTGATAATATCTTTTGAGCCCCATGACGGCGTCGAACGGATGTGGGTAGGATGGAACACAAATGGGAGAACAATATCAAGATTGAACTTCCCAAATTTCATGGAAGCCTCAATCCCGATGAGTTCGTCGATTGGCTCAACACCATTGAGCGAATCTTTGACTATGGAGAGGTCTCCGTTGAAAAGAAAGTTAAGCTTGTGGCTATTCGGTTGAAGGGGAGAGCTTCTACTTAGTGGGAACAACTTTAACTCAACCGCCGCCAATGTGGAAAGGAGAAAATCCATGATTAAGAGAAAATGAAAAAGAAGTTAAAGGGCCATTTTCTACCATTCAACTACCTCCAAAGTGTTTATCAACACCTTCATGTTCTCAAGCAAGATGGTAGTGTGAATGAATACATAGAAGCCTTTTATCACCTCATTGCATGGGTTGACTTAAGTGAAAGTGAGGAGCAACGGATGGCCCGCTATGTGAGCGGCTTGAAATCTCTCATCCAAGATGTTCTTGCCTTACACACATTGTATAGTGTTTTCAAAGCTTATAATCGGGCCTTAGTCGTGGAGAAGCAACAAAGCTGCCGTGCTCCCCCAATGGGACAATACTTTCAAGGAGGGTTTCGAGATGGTTTTAGACCGGGTCCTTCCACTTCTAGTTTTGCCAAAGCTATTCCTTCTTCCAAGTTTGTGGATAAGGGTGCTTCCTGCTCTCAAGCTCCTCGTCCTAATGGTGTTTTCGGAAACCAAAATCCACCACAAGGTGGAACCTTCAAATGCTTTAGGTGTGGTGAACCGGGGCATAAATCTTCCGATTGCCGCAAGAACATAGGTAATAACCGGAACAAGGCACTTCTCATTGAAGAAGTTGAGGAGCATGGTAACTTTGAAGATGCTCCAATCTTTGATCCTTCGGGTAATGTGGCAATTGGTGGAGATAGTGATGAAGAAGAGGGTCTTGCTCTTATGTTGAAGAAGACTCTTCTCTCACCAAAACTAGAGAGCC